TTTGTTATGTCAATAATCACTACATAAGTAAAAATTCCTATTAAGTTTTGCCGTAGCATTCTGATGAATTGCTTGTAAATTTTTTTATAACATGAATGTTATTTAATAATAAAGTAAACATTCCAATTTTTAAATAAAACTACTTTTTATAATATTCATATAATTACATTCTTTATATAATTCTTTTTAGTATAACTGATAAAAGTTATTTAATACCTAAAAATACAATAAAATTCTTTATTGGTGCATTGTACAGATAGGATATTTTTGAACAACTGGTCAAGATTTATTTAATTGGCAGAATATGCAAAAAATAATTGGATGATATAATAAGCAGAGATCTACAATTTTTATCGCATTTTATATATTTATCTTACGACACAGAGTACTCATTTTCCATATATCTTTTGAAATTATAAGTAGTAAAGGTTACGTATCATAAACATTAAAATATATATTATTCTTATACCTTTGGCCTTTATCAAGCTGTGATACTGCATCAAGAAGTTTGAAATGGAATTTTGATACATTTTGTTCCGTATCATCCAAAATTTCATCTGAATAATTTTGCATTGTGTCCATATTTAAACAAAAAGCGTGCTTCACTTCTCGTAAAATACACCAAGATTTCAATTATAAAATAGAAACTATTTAAAAGTAAGATATTGTTTTATTATACACGTATATTCCCTGTTATGTGGCTCCCCGTAGTGTGAATTCTAAACGCGCCAAATATAAATTGTATAGCGGTGTGGCCGAAACAATGATCAAAGAAACTTAATACATACATGTATTGTAAAATGGCATTCACTAGTATTTACAACTCCTCGTTTAAATAAATATTTATCCTCGTTTCTACGCAAAGAAACATTGCTAAATTGTAAAACATTCACTTTAAAAGAAATTTATATTAATGAACAAATACGAAATACCAATCAAAATAATCTTTAAATAATTTTATATAGAATCATTACTTTAATTGAAGTTTATTATTTAACAAAAACATGTTAACATCGAATAATGAATATCGAGGACGCTTGAACATTCATGGCTTTCTCACCGCTCAAAAAGTCCAGACACGATATCTTTGATATAAAAAAAAAATTGTAAAAACATTAAACTCCCTTGTTATTAAGTTCCTACTATTACTATGTTCCTATTGTTATTAAATTTAGTTGTCTGTGCTTAGTCTCGCCGGCTCATGGTGACAGCGAATTAGCTAGGATCAAGTACTGCGTCTCCTATTCTGGATCTTTTGCATGGTTTTCACACAAACGAAGGGTAAATACCGGAAGGGGAGGGTTTCAGCGGCCGTGCAAATTACCCTGAAAACACGAGTACAATTCCTGATTCGACATCGCATGAATGGTGAGGGAATATCAGAAATTGGAGTGAACATCAACAAAAGAATTAAAAACCTGCAGAAGAGATCATCATAATTGGCGGGGAAATGAATAATTTGGATGCGCGAGTCCATAACAAAGGAAGACCATATAAAAAAACAATTCTATTTTGTTAATTAATGTTTATTGTTCCATTTTCAAGTTAAATTGTTATAAAGTATTAGTAGATAATTTTAATTTTGTATATAGGTTAAATTTTACAAGATGTGTAATGTTAATAAATTAAGCAACCGTAGAAAAAGACGTAAATTAAGCTTGGGCAGTGGTACAAGGTTTTAAAGTGGAGGATATAATCATATGTACCTATATGTACAAGGGAAGTTTCTCAGATGATCAATTAGTTTAAAAAAAATAACGGTTGAAAGTTATACTCTACCTCCTAATATGTAACTGAAACGAGTGCCATTTACTCGAAAAATTTGATATCGGTCACAGAAATGGTGAAAATGGTGGAGAATCACAGAATTTGGATCTAAGGCTGGTCCGCATGAGTCACGGAGCGTGAACGTCACATTATATATTATGTACAATTTATGTTTCTTATAAATCTGCATAATTCACAACTATTTCATTATTTTGAACTAAAATATGAAGTAACCCACTTAATTCCCTTGTTAATTGAAAGATTATTATATACTGTTCTAATTTAACTAATAATACAACAAATAAGTAATTCTCTAAACTCTAGGGAATTGCAGTCCTAAAATACATTTGAAATCTCTTTTACACGTAATTCATGGAGAATCAAACAGCTGATTTGTTCTATGGTAGAGCACATGTTATGCGGTAGTATGCTATAATATTACGGTTTTTTAATATAAAGTAATGAGGTTTTAACAAAAATCTATACATTTTTATCTTTTGCGAAACGTATTGCACATATTTATTTGAGTGTGCGATGAAAAAGAAAGAGCAGTAAGTTCTTTTTAGAAAGATTTTTGTATAAGAAAAATGGCTGACCGTGATAGTGCATCTGAAAGCGACTCAAGCTCGATCGACGGAGGGCCGATAATGATGCCACCGTCTCCCGTAACCAGAGAACAACTTCAAAAAAGGATTGAGTCACTACAACAGCATAATCGTGTTCTTAAAGTTGAGCTAGAAACGTATAAATTAAGAGTAAAAGCATTACAAGAAGAAAATCGTGGTCTTCGTCAAGCCTCTGTCATTATAGTAAGCTACTTGTATATCTGTACGAAATCTCCATAATATATCAATATATTTACTAATTACACATGTTACTTCATAAAAAAGATTTTAGAGTGTTATGCTATAATATTATACTAATAATATTTCAAGTAATTTAAAGTTAAATTAGAATTATTTGTTCAATGTA